CAATCACCCATATAATTTGATTCTCCCAGAAATACGAAAATAATGGCTTCCTTATTTTTACCAAAGAGTTAAATTATCTTCTCCATGTTGCTTTTGATTGATTCAGGGACAGTGTAAAGAATAATAATGAGAAAGGTTTCAGACACACTCATTGCTGATGAACTTGGGTATAAATGAGATAAGCAAATCACCTTGGGAGAGGGGGAACAGCAACCAGGCTATATCCATGGAAATTTGTCTGCCTCTCCATGTAGTCCATTTCTTGCTGTTTATATAGCACTCGTCTAGTCAGAACAGAGGTAATGTGGCCGGATATGGCTAAACAGTTGGGCAATACCTGCTCTTCAAATCCACAGTGAGCCTAGTTTGAATTAATAAGATTACAAAGGAGATTGAGGAAGTACTGGACTAATGATTCTCTCAGGAACCACAGCAACTACTGAAGTGCTGTAGCAGAAGCAAAGGCACAGGAGACTGTGTACTGGAACAGCCCCAAATTCTGAGACTGAGAAAAGAGAGAACACCAGGATAAGGAGGTCACAAACATTAAGTGAGATGTCCCTTCTGTACTGACACATTAAGCACTGATACTTAAAATTTTATTTTATCACTGCTTAAGGTTTATGTCTTATTTCAAGTTTTTTATTTAAAAATTTAGAATAAATTTGCATCTCTCTGAACTTAAAAAGAATCGGCCTCCTAAGTCCAATATCCTTTCCCTTCAGATGTGTTAAAAGATTGCAACACTTTGAGGAGGTCTTAGGTCCCAAACATTTGAGAAAATAGGTATTTAAGACAAAAAAAATTGAGAATTTCAGGAATTGAAGGACTAAGTTTAATTCCAGGGAACTTGAATCTGATGACAACTAATTCGATCATAGAAAGATATGGAGGACAAATACTTGAATTTACAGACTTGTATGCTAACATTACCAGTTGGATATAGAGGACCAAAGAAATTCCTAAGGATGGGTTCACCTCCTCTTGAGGATTTTATTGAAATTGCTTTTGATCTTTTTGGAGAAGAAGAAAGCTCTCTGAAATGTGTAGAACACATACAGTGCAGAGTACTGGCAAATAGCTATACCAAATGGAAAGATCCGATACAACCCACCAAAATGAAAAGATGGAGCAGTTCCAAATTCCAGGGGAAGCAGGGGCCCTAAGTAGGGAAACTGAAGAAACAGTGGTGGATCAGGGGGTTTAGTGGGTGCTGATCTTTCCCAACAGCCCTCATTTTATTTGGTCATCAATATTCTGATGTAAGGCATTAACTAAGGAACACAGAAAACTGAAGGACATTGTGCCAAACATGTTAAGTACTATGCTTCAAGTGGTTTTTACTCAGGAAGATCTCTAAATCATCCTTAGTTGATAAAGGAAGACATTCTGTCCAAGAACAGTATGCTCTAATTCCCAAGAGCAGTTTGCTTTCACTTGGCAGTATTAGAAGTTTATTTTCTGTTATGCTGCTGCAGGGATATTAAAATTCCTTTATGATAAGTTATAATCTGATAAATATGATTTAAATAGTGTATTAGCCTAATTAAAATATAGAGTTAACATCATCACCAATGACATTTGGATCAAGGATGATTCAGAATGAATGGTGTAGACTCTAACTTCCCATATTTATTTTACGACTAAGAAATAAACCAGTAAATAGAAAACAAATTCAGGTGCTCACCCAGAAATAAGTTTTCCGGGAAAACTAGAATCTGTGGGCAACTAGGAAAAAGCTGGCTGCAGACATTAGCTGATATTCCTATTTCCAGTTTCTTTCTCCTAATCTTGTTTCTCCTATTTTTTTTTTAAGTTTTGTAATTATGAACTTTATTTTTATTTACTATGCCAGCATTTTCAGCAGAGTCTTTACATCCGATTTTTATGATTCATTTTACAGGCAAATTCTCATATACAGTATGTACTCTGAACTGGTTTTTAAAAACAATGGGAAAATAATACTGCACATATTATTTTTGTTCTTTGTTAGTAATGACATACAGACTTCAAATTCTTATGGTCAGTATTATTTTGTTATGGAAATGCTTTACCAAGGAGAAAGTGGGTAGCTTTTCCCCAATAAGATTAAAACATATATCTTCAATTAATGACATAGTTGTAGATTGGCACCCTCCATCATAAATCATTTATCCAAAAGTATTCTTTCAAATTGCTGCAGCAGAAAACTTAAAGGGAGATGTGGAAAAGATCATTAGAAAATAGAATTCAACATCATCAAACAGGCTTGCAATAAAGATCAATAAGACTGAAGCACCATTTCAGTTTACTTTCCATCTTACACAATAGTTTTCGTGTTGCTAAATTAGTCAGGGTGGTTATGTTTGCATGTTTATGCAATAATTTGAAAATTAATTATAGTTGTAATACAAATACCTGATGTTTTTCCTTGGGAATGGCCTTCCTATTTTTCTTAATTCTGATGCTTAAATTCTTGTTTCTCCTATTGATCACTGCTCCTTCTCTAGGCTGACACTACAATTCCAAGTACCTGCATGAATGGGCACAGAAATCCGAAACTGTATACTCTGGTGGGAAGCAGCACAATTTGCAGCATGTCTGATAACTCGTTTCTTGCTATTGACTACTCATGCCAACATAGGCTCTTGAGGGAAAATAGCTATAAACTCGGATCATTGTTGACATTCCGTCATGCCCTTGCAAATATTTATCTAAGGAAGGGATTAAACTATTATACTTTAGAAATTGGTGGAAAATCAATAGATTGAAATATATGATAGTGATTAATATGAACTAATTTAAAGCATGACTCCAGAGAACTGGTTGATCCAAGAAAAATTCTGGGTAAATGCCTTGGCTAGTACGATCCAACTCTAACTGCAAAACTTTACCCAGGGCAGAGCACTGAGTGCACCGTGGCTTCTCATATAGAACCAAGCATACTGAATGAATGGAAACCTTATGTTTCTGAAAAGTAAAGGTGCCCCATGTTTGGGATGGTGATGATAAAGAATTACATATTAGTTAGGGTTTGATTTATTAATAGTTACATATAGAAGAAACTCCTCAATAATTCATAGTTTATTTCTCTGGAAGTCTGAACATAGGGAGTACAGGATTGGTAGAGCAGTGCCTTGATCATCAGAAACCCTGGCTCCTTCTACCTTTCCACTCTGGCCTTCCTTTGTGTGTTGTATCACGGACCAAGATGGCAGTCAGAGCACCAGCCATCATATCCATATTCTTTTAAGGAGACTTTCTACAAGTGTCACACAACATTTCCACTTTTATTCTATTGGACAGATGTTAGTCACATAGCTAAATCTAGCTGCAAGGGAAGATGAAAAATATATTCTTCTACCAAGTATTCAACTGAGACCCATTCTTTAATTACTAAGGAATAAAGGGAGAGTGAATACTTAGTGTCGATTAGAAATATCTATCACAGATGACATGAAAAAATCTATAACATCCAAGTGTTTGAGCATTTTATCTTTATTTATGATAATAAAAACTAAATTTCTCCAGACTTCACTGCACAGATTTTAAAAAAGGTCTACATTAAAAGTAATGACTCACATTTTATGGGCTCTTGCTCATATTATCTGCTCTTGTATGTTCCCAGGTTCTTCTACAATGCTCATCAGAACCTACTGCCAATATGTTATCTTTACATATGACAGAATATATGCACCTTCCAAAGATGAAATTTTTCAGATTTGATAAAGAGGGATTTTCAAATGTCATGAAGAGGAAACACTGTTGCACTTGGCAGGGACTTAGGTGAGAATTTCTGGGCACAGAAGGTGCATCGGGACTGGGATGCCGTGTGTTGGCAGGTCACTTTGGGGATTCATGGGGAAAAAGAACACACATGCCCTGGGGTACACCTCAGTTGAGACAGCTCTCTCGGTGACTGTGCTTTGTCTGGAAGTAGTTCTGAGTCTTCACAACTGCCTCTGTTCCCAGTGCTGATTTGGCACTGGGCTAGCAACCCCCAACTCTGTGCTTCATTTAAGAGTAGGATTTGCAGAATTTCCCGTAAAGCACTGATTACCAGTTCTAACTCCACGGCTAAAGGAATATCACTGGAGGTGGTACAGGCACATAGATCTGAAGTGATGACTGTGCTAGCCTTTAAAAAGTGACTACATGTCAGCAGAAGAGATTTTTCATATGTTGTTATAGGTCAGAAAACTCTAGATCTTGATTTGAAAAATACTGTCTGACAAAAATAAGATTTGATAAAGATCATCTTAGGTGTGAACAAGTCACTTTGATTTTCATTTTTTGGCATGATATTCATGCTGGATACCTCCTTTTGGGACTACTCACCTGAGCCTTCTACCATACCAAAACAGACTTCTTCAAAATCCCACTCTAAATCTGTTTTACTCCTAGGTCCCTGCAAATCAGTAAGTAAATTGATCATGTCTTCACTAAATGCCATTTGATGAATTGTTTTTGCCATTATTGATGTGTGATTACAAACTTGGTTTAAAAAACATATTTATGTAAAAGAACCTTAAAGAAAGAGCAGTTAGGAGGGATGCCAAGTAAGCCGCAGGCCGATAGTGGAGATTTCTAGTCCCCTTGGATTCATTTCCTCTTTTCAACTGCTGATTCTGCTCACGTACCCTGAAATATTCTTTCTGACTAGAAACTTCATTTTCTCTGCAAATCCCTTCCCACTCTGTTCTCTAATTTTCTTTAGAAGGGCAACTGCTTTTTACAGAAGGGAGAGTGATAGAAGTGAACAAAAATGATGTCCTTCACCACCAGCCCTAGGCTCTCCCTGGCCTATATTTATTATCTTTAAATACACATTTTTATGGAGAGGTCTATCTAGGGATAACAGAAAAAAGGTAGGATTCCCCATCCTTAGAAGACAAAGTCTGAGATTCTATTGTTTCCTAGAAACATCTTTTGTTCTATTTGTGACACATTTAGATAATAAAACAAGAACTTATCTCCCCTCAAAACACGACGTGTGTAGTCATTCTGTAGTTGCCCCCGCCTCTCCAGTGTGGCTTCCCTGGATTCAGTGCATGCCTTTTTCTGCTCTCTGCCTGGAAGGCCCAGCCTCCAAGGATTGCATCACTTGGACTTCCTCACTCTCTGGTTGCTGCTGAGGTTTGGATAATGGGAAAGTAAGAGGCTGATTTCATGTGTATCTTTCTACATCCTCCCTGCCTTGCTTTAGTCCAAGTTGCATTCCTCTACATTCCTCCACCAGGGCAGGTTCTGTTGTGTAGGTCCCTTCCTGGCTTCAACTCTCATTAGGGCCTGGTGAAATCATTTCCCCACTTGCTCTCAGGCCTAGGAGAGTAAGCAGCTTCTTACCTTTGTAGGTCCCTGGGTGTCTATGTGTCTGTAATGAGTTCCCCTCAATCAGTCAAACTCTTGGAGTGAGCCATCTGTTTCTTGTTGGGACTCTGACGGAAGCGCAGGCTCAAGAAAGGCTTAGATAAATCTTGAGTTCTGCCATCAATTCCTCACTTATTTATTAATCGCCTTCTAGTTGTACTTTCTGAGGCACTGGAACGATGGGCAGCTAGGAGGGACAGCTGTCAAGGAGGGCAGCTACTGTGATAACTATGGAGTAGTCCTTCATGTTCTGTTGGAGGTAGACTTCCAGCCTTGAAAGACCATTCCTGCGAGGTTCCCAGTCATGTATTGTGCTCTGAGGAAGAGAGCTGTGACTACTGCTAAATGAGCTGTTCCAGCTGTAAGTGTCTTCCTTGCGAAGAAGGTGTCCTACCATTTGAATTGCAAAGGATGTGTTCATGTATTTATATATGTTTGTGGATGTATATGGTGAGATGAGGGAGTAAACAGCAAAGATTAAAACAGGACCTGAAATTCTTTTCCTTTAGCACATTCTTTTTCAGTTTTGATGAGGAATATAGACAGAGTAGTAGATACCTATGTTCATTTAGAAAACATTTGGGATTCCAAAGGAGGGATTTGGATTCACACCTAGGCTGTGAATCAGATCGATCTGAAGTGGAAAGTTGGTACTATAGGGCAAGGGGCAGTGGGTGCTGGCAGTCTGTTGTGAGGACAGGGAATAATAGCAATTAAACAATTGATTAAAAGTTTGGCACACATCTGGATTAAATCCTACCTCTACCACTTACTAATTACCTCGTACTCCTGCAAGTCACTTAACTTTATCAACTCACAGTGCTCTCCTCTGTTCAATAGGGGCAATTCTACACATTTTGCAGTTTTCGAGACAACGGCATTTGCCATGCAATAATTGTTCAAGAAACGATAGCCCACTGTCATTGTGCAGCATATTCTCTTACCTATCAACACAATCTCCCACCTCTTGTTTTCCATCATTGAATTTTTGTACTTTTATATTCTAGCAGCTTACACAGTCTTATCTTTTCTCCTGTTTGTTCTTAAGTATTCTGAGGTTGGGAGTCTGTTAGAGTAGTTCTGGAAGCTCTCAGCAAATTTAGAAACTAGTCATGTCTAACTCGTAGCTCTCTGCATTCTGCAAAGAACATGTGTTTGCTAGGCTATTAATATTTATCTTTTGGAAAAATCAGCATGTCTTTGGAGATGAGGCAAGAAGTCAAGTGCTGGATATAGTCCTTCAGTGAGGCAAGAATAAAGGTCAGATACTGAGGATGTTGATCTGGAGTTGATCCTGTTCGTAAAATGGCCTCTGTAAACATGTTTTGGCTGTGGTCACTGACCTCTTCAGGATGTGATCTTGTGAGACTATTTCCCAGTCATTAGTTCATCGGACTGTGTATTCCTAGTTAGAGAAATAAAATAATAGCCACATTTATTTACCGGGTATTCCAAGTCTTTAAATAAAACTTAAATATCTGTACTCAAATTAATGTAAACATTCTGACATCAACCAGTTTTACCCAGAGAGAAAAAAAAGTTTATGCCAATTTAATAACCTAAAATGTCCTTTTATGTTAAAAGGAGGTTTTTATTTACAGAACTATGATTTGAGACTGCAGATTGTATTTGGTGAGGTCTGGCATTATGCAACTAGGACCAGGAGTGTGCCTGAAAATTTGCTTGTGCAGAATGAATTGAGGGACATGCTATCCTCCTCTTGATCAAAAATATTTTCTCTCACTCCAAGTATGCATCAATCTGCCCTGTGGCCTCAAATGATTAGAGTTATTCTCTTCGATGAACACCAAAAAACATTTTTAAAGCAATTATTATGTGCTTGGTGCTGCATTGGATGGAAATAATAACAGTATACAAAATATTTAGTTCATGCCTTCAAATAAGTTGTAATTTTGATATAAGGTATTTTCTTGTTAGTGGCTTGGATTATTTTGTTTGCAAGGGAACAAACCTAACACAAATTAGGGCACAATAAAAGGCAATTTGCTGTCTCTATTTTTCTGCCTGAGTTGAAATCACTCTTGGAAAGCTTCTTTCTTATGTCTGGAATCAATACCATCAACTCCATACAGATTTGTTGCCAAAAAAAATATGGATTTTTCTTTAGTTCAAATTTTTAAACATCATAGGCATCTAAAGGATCTACCTTAGCTCACATAGTTGATGGTGTGAGGGAGCAAATCTTCTCACTACAGTCACTGGGTTGGAGTGGAACAGAAGCAGTTTCCCAAAACAAGTTGAATGATGTCATCTGGGGATTGGTAACACAGTGTATGCTTACCACTCTTCCAATCCCCAGAAATTGTCGCTTTTTGTGAGATGTTTGGATATTGGGAAAATGGGGCCAATGCAGAAAATGTGCAGAACAATATGAATTAAGCCCTTAGTTAATTTACTAACTTGCAATGCCATGGAAAGCCAAGCTGTCTCAAGAGAAAATTGTCTTCTCCACTAATTTCCTTTAATAATTAAATTCTATATTGAGGAGGAAGAGATTTTAAGGTCTGTTTGAATTTTGGACTCAAAATGCCATACCTGATAACAGTAATGCACCCAGTATCCTATCATGCCTGTCCACTTAGTGCCTTCTTTAATTAAAAAAAAAAGTCATGAACCTGCACCATGATTCATTTCTAATGAACTGCAGTTGTGGAATGCTTTTTTAGCACAATTCACTTTGAATTCAACAAGTAAGTGACTTGTGTGCCCTTGCTCCATCTGTGCAGAGACTCTGAGAGGGCACGGGAAGAACACTGAGTAAGAGTCACAGTAGTTGAGCTCAGCATCATCTAGTTCAGCTCCTCCTTACTGGTGATATATATTTTTTTTAATTTAGGAATTTTACAGGAGCACATATGTTTTGGTTACATAATTTGCTTTTGTACATTTTGAGTAGAATTTATTAGTGTGCCCCTCAGTCAGTTAGTGTGCATTGTACCCATGTGAATGAATTTAGGTATAAATTTACCCATCTCCTCTCCCCCTCCCACCTACATGACTTCCCCTGAATTTTACTTCCATATGTGCACCTAAGTGTTGCTTTATTAGTTCCAATTTGGTATTGAATACATGTGGTGTTTGTTTTTCCATTCTTGTAATACTTCACTAAGAAGAATGGCCTCCAGTTCCACCCAAATTGTTCCAAAAGATACTAAATCACCATTTTTTTATAGCTGAGTAGTGCCATAAAATATGGTATACATATATCATATTTTATTAATCCACTCATGTATTGATGGGCATTTGGTTTGATTCCACATCTTTGGTATTGTGAACTGTGCTGTGATAAACATTCAAGTGCAGATGTCTTTTTTATAGAATGTCTTTTTTCCTTTTGGTAGATATCCAGTGGTGGGATTGCTGAATCAGATGGTAGTTCTACTTTTAGTTCTTTGAGGTATCTCCATATTACTTTCCACAGAGGTTATACTAGTTTGCAGTCCCACCAACAGTGTATAAGTGTACTTCTCTATCCTCATCCTCGCCAGTATTTGTTGTTCTGGGAGTTTTTAATAAAAGCCATTCTCACTGGAGTTAGGTGGTATCTCACTGTAGTTTTGATTTGCATTTCTTTGATGATTAGAGATGTTGAGTATTTTGTCATGTGTTTATTGGCCATTAGTCTATCTTCTTTTGAAAAGTTTCTGTTCATGTCTTTGCCTATGTTTTAATGGGGGTTCTTTGATTTTTTTTTTTCTTGCTGATTTGTTTGAGTTCTTTGTAGGTTCTGGTTATCAGGCCTTTATCGGATATCATGCAAATATTTTCTCTCATTCTGTAGGTTGTCTATTTGCTCTATTGATTGTGTCCTTGGCTGTGCAGAAGCTTTTTAATTTGATCAGGTCCCATTTATTTATTTTTGTTGTTGCTGTGATTGCTTTTGGGGTCTTCTTCACAATTTTTTTGCCAAGGCCAATATCTATAAGAGTTATTCCAACATTTTCTTCTAGAATTCTTATAGTTTCATGCCTTAGGTTTAAGTCTGTTATCTATTGTGAATTAATTTTTGTGAGAAGTGTGGATCCTGTTTCACATTCTCCTTACTTCTCCTAGCCTTAAGTTTCCTCAATTGTAAGCCAACTTTCTTTATAGTCTTTTCTTTTTTTCCCTTAGCAAGATAATGCTAAGAGGCTAAGATGAGAAAAGTTCTCCTTTCTGGGTCCTTGATAAGTTGTGTATTCTTAGTTTTGTTTTTTTTACTAAATATTATAGCACTTGTTTTACCCACCTTCCAAAAAATCTAAGGTAAAAAATAGAAATGAATTAAGTTTCTATTTCTACCAGCAAACTTACGGCAGGATAAGTCACAGCTATAGGTAGAGGTCATGACCTGCCAGTTCTTGCATGCCAAAAAGCCAGCTTTGGCTCATACAAGACATGTTGATATCATTTGAGTTTATCAGAACAATACTATTAATTCAGTTCCTGAATTATCTTCATTTGGGGTGCCTTGAAATGGCCTCTGCTCAGCAAAGAGTGGGGAGGATATAACTGTGGAAAACTTACACAGAGCAGGGGCCAAGAGTATCCTCCTTTTCAATACACTCATTCTACAATACTTGTGGTAAGAAGTGCTGGGGTAGGTGAACAGATGCACAAGACATAAGATTTTGCCTTTCATCTTGCTGTTTACTTGCAAACACAAGAATTTGTGAAAACAAATAAGGTAAGACTAAATTAAAAATGCATATAATTGAGTGGGACTTGAGTCGTTCAGATATTTAGTGAATATGAGGAAGAAGTCACCATGAATTTGTCAAGT